GCTGCACTTTTGTCCTTCTTGAACCTGAAAGCTGGATTTTCTTTAGACCGAATCGAATTTGAAAAAATAGGGGGGAAAAGAGAAGTCACAGTTGACAGAGTGGCAGAACTCCTTCACTTGACATCAACTTCTGTGAGTGAGTCAGAGTTTCATTTTATCCCAGAGTGAAAGAAAAGACCTGAAGAAGTTCTGAAAATCTATATCAGCTCATTGGAAACAGCCTCCTGGGTCAGGACATTCTTTTATTCTTTACAAAACTATCCAAAATGTGTGAACATATGTATAAATAAAATAAAATCATACTCGGAGAAATAATCTTCTCAGCTTTCTTCAGATATTTCCAGTATTTGAATTTTTGTAAACCACGGCTAGAGAAAGGCTTGTTTAATCTTCTAGTGGAAAAACAAGACGTTAAATTATTACCAAGATAAGTATTTCATTTCTGGTGATCAGCAAATATAGCCTCTTTAAAAGTTACATTAAAATATTGAGTCTATCAGCTTGAGGCGTAGGTCTCTTGTGTCAGCGCCACAGTGCCTGTTTGTTTTTGGTAAACACCATCACATTTTCCCTATTTTTGCATACGCCCTGAAAAACGACCAGTCTTAATACGACTGCCAGCTCAATGTGTTTGGTAGGAAAATCAGAGGTGGTTCTTGAGCGCCTATAATAGCATATCTCCGTCAGACTCACCCAACATGTTCTGCTGTGCTTGATGAGCGACTGAATTCAGCTGCCGTAAGTTTTTACCGAAGCGATTTTCTTTTTCAAATTTTTGGTTGTGATATCTCTTTTCATATCGTTTCATTAGGATGGTCAAAGAAAACCCACGGCATAAGAATTAGTGATTGAGCTTATCACAAATTAATAGTAATTTAATTAAAAAAAAAACATTTTACTAAAAACTAAACATTTACTGTTCTGAGAAAAATAAATTTTTTGTAGGTTTTTATATATATAAATATTTCTAATTGATATCTTATATACAATTTAAAGTAAACCCCGGTACAAAATGTGTTACGTGGTTGAAAATATGATATTGTACATGTTTTGTGATATTACAATTAACAGAGCATGATTTTACTGCAGATATGTGCAAGTTAAATTTGATTTTTTAGCCACCTGGAAGGTCTCTCAATGTATAGCCATTCTTTTGTGCTGCTGGAAAGCACCTAAAGCATATATGTTTCTGCAGATGTAATTTTACAGAAATGCTGTGCTGATTAAAATAAGTTCAGCTATTTCAAGAGATAATGTCTCTATTTTTTTTTTTTTTTTTTGTAAAAGCACACTGAGAAAATACCGGATCTCTACAGGGACATCGATAGCTAATTATTTCGTCCCCTTGATACAATTTAAAGTTTTTACATTTCATGTATTTTTTTTTTTTAATTGAGGTGATATATTTAGGCGAAACATTTGTTGTTTAGACATGGTAATGTAAATTTATCTCTGTCACTGTTGAGGATAATGCAGATTAAAAGACTCTTTGCCCACTCAAATGACCAAAAATATTTTCATCAAATTTAGTTGAACCTCGTACAATTTTGGTACTTGGTGTCTCTGAACTCAATATAGGAGAAAAAGACGAGTTTTGTTTGTAAAACATCATCATGTATCAAAATTAATATAAGCATTATGAAGTGGCTGGTTGCATGCTTTAAAAAAACACTCCTTTATATTATCTTCCAGCTCAAAATTTGCATGGAATAAATAACAGATAATGGCTGATTACCTGGATCCACAAATTAATGCTCAACAAGGTGAGAAGCTCTATCCATCACGTGGGTGTTCAAAAGATCAAATCAATTCTCAATTTAGCTGCTAGTATTGAAATTATTTTTAAATAACGTTAACCGCGTTGATCTTTGTTTTTATTTTCCTCAGATGACGCGAAACCATCCCTCCATTCACCTCTCAATCAGTCAGATTGCGAGAGGTTTTCCTACAACCCTTACATAGTCCCGACTCTCTTCTTTCTCATGTTCCCCCTCGCCTTGTTGTTGAACGTCGTGGCAGTGTGGGTATCTGTGCATCTGAAGTCGACCTCCACCTTCGTGGTGTATCTAAAAAATCTCGTTGTTGCCGATATAGTTATGACCCTGATGATCCCAATGAAAGCCGCAGCAGACTTGCCAACCACATGGGAACAACTCGCCGCCCCAACGTGCCGGTTTTTCGCTGTCATTTTCTACAACGCTCAGTATACGTGTATTGCTTTGCTGGGGCTCATCAGCCTGGACCGTTTCTTTAAGATCATGATGCCACACAGCAGGATGTTTGGCCAAAGTCTGACCATGAGCAAGGTGATATCCGCCATGGTCTGGCTGGTTTTGTTCGGAGGTACAGGTTTGCCAAATATCCTCTTGACGAACAAATCTGTGGCCAACACCTCATTAATCACCACGTGCATGGTTCTGAAAAGCCCGGCAGGGGTACATTTTCATGAGCAAATATCTCTCCTCCTGAACATATTCTTTTGGTTCGTCAGTGTGGTCATTGTGGTTTGCTACATCTGCATCGCAAACAGAGTCATCCAGTCATATAGAAATTCCGGTAGCAACAACAGCCAAGGGAAGCAGAAAATCAAACTGCGCGTTTTTCTCGTCATCATTGTGTTCTTCATTTCCTTTGGCCCGTACCACATTATCAGGATCCCATACACTTCTCAGCAAGTCAGCCAAGCTAACACAGACTGCTCTCAGACCCGTGAACATCTGAGGTTTGCCAAGGAACTCAGCCACTGGCTCGCTACGACTAACATCTGCATGGATCCCCTGCTCTATGTCTTCCTTTGTCGAGAGTTCAAGGAAAAACTAATGTCGATGATGGAAAATTGCTTTAAAGCGCCAGGAAAACAAAAGCTCAAAGACGCGTTGCCTTCTTGAAACTCCAGTCAAATATGTAGCCATATCGTTACGTGGTTCTTAAAGAGAAGAAATGAAGAGTATTTTGTGAAACATCAGGTCCAGTTTAGGTAGTGTGTTTTATTTTCCTTGCCTGCTTCCTTTATATGCCTGTATTAAAATGACAGATGGATCATCCTGTCACCATCTTAAAAACCAGTCGACGAGCAGAGGCAATTAGCCAACACCTTGGAGTCTAGGAACCACTTCCCAGTCCAGTGGCCCTAAGAATGATCGCAAACAACGATGGAGAAGCACTGCTGTGATGAGAAGTGTTGGAAGGAGCAGCAGCTTCTCAAAGAGACAGAGGCCAATTCCAAGGTGTCAAATTATTTCTAAGACATGTTTGATATGTACAGCATTTCTATGACAACTGAAGGTAACATAGTTACTTGACTGTGGTATGAAAAGGTACAATGGAGAATACATAACACAACCCCTTGAAGAAACAAGATGCACTGTGGGACTTGTGTATTGTGTCTTCTCCCAGTACATTTTCTGCAACTTGTTTTGTCATCGTGTTGTTAAGCATTGTCTGACTTTCTTTTGATAGTAACACGTTGTTATAAACCCAGTCTTCATGTGATGTCACATGAAGACTGGGTTTATAAAGAACTTCTGCTTATATAGAAGTTCTGCGAAAACGAGTCAAAAAAGCGTCACTTTGCAGGCATTCAGCAGACTGAGTTTGGTTAATCTTCGTTGGTGTCGACAAAGCTTCCATAAAAGGTTGTAACTGTGTCACATTTTAATAGCTCTGCAATAAATACAAAGTAGTTCCTGAGCACACCACATACATAGAACCCGCGTTGCAACACTAATGCAGCCCGGCTTTGCTGGAATTAAAATAGCATGCTCAGTTCCAGAAACGTAAAGCAGCATATTTGCTTACGCTACAGAAACACAAGGCAGATTTACAATGGTGTGATTAAAACAACATATTCTATATCAGCTAGGATTTGAGCTCAGATGTCGATGTTCATTTGTCTGAAATGCTAACATCACTTTATAATATTAGAACGCAAAATGTAGCCATTTTGAAAAGTTAAGGACTGACACGTTCTGCTAATATTCAGTGTCTCTATCAGCAGCTGCAATCGTTTTCGTGTGGTTTACTTTGAGATGTATAAGTTGTGCGCAATGTGACTTCAGTTTCACTGCTGTAAGAACTCCTGCTTAAAGTGAGAGAAATCACATAGTTTTGTTGGAATGTTGCACATTTTAACAGCTCAATAAATGCCCTTAAAAATGAACCTCCTTGTCATTTGTTTGATGAATCTCAAATTATATCTGAGACATGGAACTGAAAGTATGTGTGGATTTAAAATAGATATTAATCTCACTCACAGTTTTAAAGACTGGCTGAAGAGCAACCTTTTTAGCATGCATACTATCTGTTAGGCACGTTCTTTCCATCCGTCATAATTCCTGGGTCAAATCCAGGGAAAATCACACAGGAAGTCATTTTGGACAGTTTTCAGGAAAAAAAAAAAGTATTTTTAACACAGGGGGGAATTGAGTTGTGTAAGCAAAATGTTATAATATCGCAATAATAAAGTGTACACAAAATGCAATAACATCCATTTCTTTAAATAATTTCTTTGGAGAAATACAGTCAACTCTGTTGTGCCTTTTAGTGGCTTTCATTTACTGAATTAGATCCACTGCTCACCAAAAACCACTTTCTGTTTCAGACCAAGATAAACACATGTTGTGGTGTAAAGGGAGGTGCAACACTGTGAAGAAATTTCTTGATAAATTTGCTCTCGGTCTGGTGTTTGGCTGTCAGCAGCTTGTGGGGCTGACGGAGGCAGAGGGACTGGCACGGAGTAGAACAAGACTCTCAGTAGACAATTGGAACAGGAAGCAAGGAAGGAAAGGGTCTTTCACCCGGAGGAAGACTAGCTAACTCATTGGGATTGTGACAAGACAGCCTCACAATAACTCCAGAGACCACCCAATTCAAGAGCGTCACATACACACACACACACACACACACACACACACACACACACACACACACACACACACACACACACACACACACACACACACACGCAGTTAAAAACAGAAAGGCAGCAGGAGGGACAAAGCTCAGAGTAACAGGGAGGCTCAGTTCTAATATCAGAAGTTGGGTGTTTTTTGTTTTGTTTTTTTTTTTTTTTTTTACTGCTAAAATACCAATACTGATCAAAAGAAATAGCTTTTTTTTGTTGTTGTCGTTTCAGCCTCTTTTTTTTTTTTCATCTTTCCGAGTTGCAGTAAGAGAGAAAAAGGAAATTGGATTTTTCACTTCTCTGTTTTTCTGTGAAATCGTGTACTTTTCATCGCTCTCGTTATTCTTCCAATGCCCACTGTCACCACAGCAGGTAAGGCTCGACTTTTCACTGACACGAACTATCGCTTGTATGCAAAGAGTCGCGGTGCAGAGCGAGCTCAGACCATTCTTTGTTTGAAAGCGTTATTTACGCTGTCGCAGCGCCTGCTCTCTGCTTCAGCGTCGCTCCTTACATTTCGCACACTTTCAGGTGGGGTTGTTGGTGGTATATGGTGGGGTTCAAGCAAATATATTCATCAAGTAGCATTTAATTTGGCAATTGCATGCCATTTAAATGACAGCATGAACAATTTTTGATTTTTCCACCAAAAGAAACTTTTGGTGGAAAAATTGTGTTTTAGTTCAAAAGTTTTCCTGTATTGTTAGAATGGCTTGAATACTATTGTCTTTAAATTTAGGACTGATTGCTTCACATCATGTTTTCACCATCTTGGATTTGTTCACAGATGTTATTAATAAGTGTTACAACTGAAGGTAAAACAGTAGCAGCTTTGCAGCCTGCAGGGTAATTATTTTGCATATTGTACTTCTAGAAATTTGGCACATGTAGATTTTTCAAAATGTGGGTTAAAAAGGAACAAATAATAGCCGACAAAGTATGCAGTTTCTGAATTTTTTATTTTTTTTTTGCTTCTACTGGAAGTTATTGTATTGAACAACTAACTTTACATGTATTGAAATTCCCTTACATTGTCACAGATTGCCTGGAAGTTGTCATTGTTTCTCTTTGTCATCTTGTATGTTGGTAGTTTTGTTGTGGTAGTTTATATCCATGTATTAATAGGTACATGTCAGAGGGTTGGGGGCTGTATGTGGAATGTGGCAACAAACAAATCAAAGTTGTTTTGTATTATGTAGTCAACAACAGAAAAATGTACAATTTAATGGCCATACATAATGTAAAATAGGGATTTGAACTAAAAAAAAATGGGATTGGAGTTTAAAGCATTTTTCCATCCTGCGACATTAGTAAAATTGGACTCTTTTTTTTTATGAAAAATGAAACTGCAACATGAGCATAAAGCAATACTCCATGGTTCAAGGTCTTTATTCTACAGACAAAACCTTGAGGCTGAAAAAGACTAAATTAAAATGCATAAATGCAAAATGTGGAGACATATTGAGAAAGTGATAAATTGACCACAAGCCATTGTTAGTCAAAAGACGCAAGTTTAGGTGGCACACCCAAAAATTCTCAACAGCACTTCCTCATTTTCACTTCATCTGAAAATGCACCCGATGTTCTTCAAGTGACCGGTCTTGTATGTTATAGTTTTTTTCCGAAGGGTCACTCAGGATCAGAAGATGAACGCCACGGTGAACGCCTCCAAGGAGTGTGATAGGGATACCAGTGTGACATCTGTGATATTCCCAGTTCTTTACAGCATTCTTTGTATCGTAGCCCTTGTGCTGAACTCTTTAGCTGTGTGGATCTTCTTCAGAATTCCCAGCACCACAATGTTTCTGGTCTTCTTAAAAAATGTGGTAAGCTCTTACTGAAGAACATAAGTTGCCATTGATACAGACTGGTTGGGAACAATAATAATAATAATAAAAAAAATACATTTCATGCTTTACCAACAGGTGGTGGCCGACTTGTTGATGACTATCACCATCCCTATCAAAATCTTGAGTGATGCAGGAGTGGGTTTCTGGCAGCTGCGTGCCTTCTATTGCAGATTCTCCGCTGTTCTGTTCTACATCACCATGTACATCAGCATCTTATTGCTGGGCCTCATCAGCTTGGACCGCTACCTGAAGATTGTGAAGCCCCTCGGAAAGTGTGCCCTGCAGAAGGTTCGGGTCGGACAGAGGCTGAGTGCAGCGATATGGATTGTAATGCTGTCTCTGGCCCTGCCCAATGTCATTCTCAGCAACCAGCCCCCGAAGCCCTCGGGGGGCAAACTGAAATGCTCCTCCATGAAGGGCGAAGCTGGCAAACTATGGCATGAGGGATTTAACTACTTCTGCCAGGTAACCACTGCACAAATCTTCTGAGAAACAAGTTTTACTTGGATTCTTAACAGTTATTTGATGCATCCAATAGAAAGTCATCCCCGTCCTTATGAGCTGAGCATTTAAAAGCAATTGCTTCAACCCATAGCAACTGCGGCGCATTAATCTACTGATCTACCACTTATTTAGAATGTGCATGTTACATAAAAAACTGCATAGCCTCAGAACTGCTGTCAGTCAGGCCTAATGCACTAAACAACTCAGCTTGTAAAATTTGATGTCAGAAGATTGGCTGAGTTTCATGACATGTATTTCTGTTTTAGGTCATCTTCTGGGGCACGCTTGCCTCGATGGTGTTTTGTTACACGTTCATCAGCAAGAAGGTCTATGAATCATACAAAGCCTCAAAGAGCAAATCTCATGCTGCAAGTAGAAGAACAAAAGCCAAAGTCTTTGTGGTCGTGGGGGTATTTTTCGTCTGCTTCGCCCCTTTCCATTTTGTGCGCGTGCCCTATACATTGACTCAAACCCGCGGCAGCGGCGACTGCCGAGCAAAGAATGCGATCTACATCGCCAAGGAAACCACACTGTGGCTGTCTGCAACTAATGTCTGCCTTGACCCGCTTATTTATATCTTCCTGTGCAGAGTGTTCAGGAAGAGACTCGTGAGCACGTTCTGCAAAGACACCAGGGAGTCTTCCAAAAACTCATTAACGCACATGGAGATGTCACAAATGGATCAAACTATCAGACTGTCGCACAATGACACATCGCACATCAATCAATGCACATCAGCCTCAAGCTTCGACTGCTGATGTCTTTCATACCTGGACGACTGTCGTACGTGGCAGTACGTTTGATTAGAAAGCCTGCACAAACTCTTTAAATAAGCAGACTGTGAATGGACTCTGACAAATCGGATGTGCCAGTAATTTCAGTGTCTGTAATTTCAGCGAATATCGTGCAAGAATGTTTTTGCTTACTCATCCGCACATTTCCTTAACAAAGCTTACTGTCAGTTTCTGCATCCTGTGGTTTAATCTTGCTCAAACTGCACTTTCCCGTAGCTTAAAACTTACTGCATTGGGGTCACAATAATGGTGGCATTAAACACGTTGTGAAAAGCTATTCGTCGAAGAAGAGCTAAATAAAAACAACTGCAGCAGACCAGAATTTGTTAAGAGCCATCTGGTGAGAAAAATGTGGTACTAATCGCTGAAATCCTAATATTTTTGCATAAGCAAGACATATTTATGTCTCAGTTGCACGGTAGTCATTTTATTTCTATAAAGCTAATTTGAATAATAATATAGCTTAGCAGATGATACCACACTTGTGCCTTATGTGTGGTTGTAATACACACTGTAAATTTGATCAGAAATCATGGAGGCATTGGTACCATCTTTTTTCTCTTTAGGATTGTTGTTCCACGCTACCATAGAAATCCCCCTTATGCAGAAAATTGTACATTCTAAGTCGTATTCTGAAGTATTTTTCAATCAAACATACATTTTTTCCGTTGATACAGATAATATCAATTTTACTTTTTAATGCTATGTTTCACATAAAAAGGCTGTAATCATTAAAGACATCTCATAGTGGTTGTCTTTACATGCTACCAGAAGTGCTCTGAAAAAAATACCACACAATCTGTGATCTAGCTTTAAAAAACAGTTTTCTTCTTTTCTTATTACATGGAAATATGTAACATTTGTAAAAATTAAAAAAGGAGAGGAAGAAAGAAAGAAAGAAGGAAAGAAAGAAAGAAAGAAAGAAAGAAAGATAGAAAGAAAGAAAGAAAGAAAGAAAGAAAGAGAAAATAACAAAAGTCAAGTATTTCACTGACAAAATGCTGCAATTAGACTAAATGCAAGTAGGTTTCAACAAAATGTACAGTAATAATCACACAATTGTACTGTAAGCTTTTGTAAAAGTGTAGAATGTAAGACTGATAATGTTCCTTATTTTGATTTTCCTTTTTTATAAACACCTCGCTATGTTTTTTTTTTTTTTTTGACAATTTATTACAATATTTATCTGGGCATATTCTTTGTCATTATAAGAAAATATAATTTTGCTTCAAAGATAAGATCCTACTTATAATATTTTCACCCAAAATTTTGGAAAGCCAGACTATGCATGGAGAACTGATATCGATTGTTTTGCTGGTTCACTCTAACTGTTCCTCTGTAAAGTTATTTCTTTATTTGTTTTTTTTTTCTGGTTGTAATGTACATGTGTATTTAATGTTTGCATTGAATGTTCTTTATATCAATGGATAATTGTTTTTTCACAACTTTGATATTAACATTGTGCAGTGGCAAAAAAAAAAAGCTAAAAAAACAACAAAAACAAATGAAAAAAAAACCATCTTTGTTTTTAACACAACATCACATTACAAACTGGTAGCTTAAATGTTGAGACATGTCAAAAGAGCCTGATGAGCTAATCAGAGGAGATGTGGAGCAAATGAAAGCAGTGAAACGGAGGAGTAGATTAAAATAAAGGGAGATAAAACGAGGCTCAAAGAATCCAAACACAAAAAAGAAAAGAAAAAACTAAATAGAAGAACCCAATTTGGAGAAATGAAAAGAACCCACAAAAATCAGAAATTAATAATAAAATAATAAACACAAAGAAAGAAATGAATTTATCTACAAAAATAATAATAATCAACAAATGGCACTGACAAGATCTTTTTTGAATCATTACAAAAACCCAAGCACCTGTGGATTCTGACAATCTTGACAAAAGAGTTTGGTGCATGAAATATACAGCTAACTCCATTAGTGGGTGTCATGACAGAACTGGTGCCACAAAAACAATGGCTGCATTATGATGGCAAGTGAGAATAAGGTTAATGTGGACAAAGTCAATTCATCACATTTTTGTGTGCTATTCTGCAGCCCAACCAGAAATAAAATTTATGAAAAGTTCAAAAAATAAATGAGGTGTAATGCTCCTTTTTAATTCAGAACTATTTCCAAAAAGATTAACAGCACCCCGTAACTTAAATCTTGTGAAATAAAAACATGTAAATTGCAAATTGAAATTATTAACTTGGAATTCAAATATGGTGCTTATGTGGCGTACTGACCTGGGCCCAGCTGTTGTATCTGTTAATGGAAAAGATTTCATCCTATATGATATCCCACATGACAGTACAAATGACAAAACAAGCTCGGAAAATTGTAAGACTTTGCATTTTACGAAGAACTTGTGTGTTTCTGACCAGGGAAGCATTAGAACAACAGATGACACCAGTGTTATTTCATAAAAGGAGCTTCCTGATTGGCTTTACAGGGTTTAAGCAACATCCACCCCAAAGCATCATCTAAAGCATTGTCTAATGTCTGACGATTTAAAATTAAACTTATTTACCAACACAAACAATTGTCGCAAGCTTTTGACTTCACCGGTCACGTTCAGTTAAACCAGGAGAGACAAAAATGCAAATGTGAAATAAAATTGCTTTCTCCGACTCTGCCACTGCCAAGAAGAGAGGTCTGAAGACATTCACAAGCTGGTTCTGCAGGATTACTGTCACCTGCCCCATGGCTTGATGTGAGTTTGATTAATGCAATAATGATATATAATTTCTCTCCAACCCACTTTCTATCAGTGATGACAGAAGCTGATATTTGGGCAGGAAATTAATGAGCTGCAGTGCAACCAGAGCGCTGACGGCGGCCGAAGGAAGTGCAATTTTAGATTAAATTCTCTGACAGATGACCCGGTAATCGTGCGCTACTAGTATTTTTAAATGACATTCACGGAAATTAAACCCACCGTGTTAGAGAGTAAGAATGAGAATAAATGTTCATAAGGACTGGTCAGAAGGACAGGAAGGACAGGCAGAGTTTACTATGACCGAGTGTGTGGTGAAACGGTCTAAATGTGAAAATGAGAAACCATGCGTCTGGGCGTCAGATAAGCAAATCACAAATCAGGAAGTTTCCGCACGTTTCAGATTGGCGCAGGAACCAGGATAAACTGAGTAACGCTGAGAAGACATTCATGAGCATGACAAAAGTAGCGCAAATTATTCCATAATACGCTGTAAGTTCTTTAGCCATTTCTCAATAAAGTCCAAATTACAAAGAAAAAATGTATCAAACCTATTCCACCTCACTTAACGTCGCACAGCAAAATAAGGGACTTCACTTTTAGCATGTAGCTCAGCTGAAGCAGTTGTTAGTCACCCAATCAACCACAGGGTTGCCCTGTGGGGAAAATTTCTGAAACCCAGTAGTGCAGCTGTGCAGCTTGCAAAACAACTCCCCCCACCCCCCGTTTAGCTCTTTTTTTCGCATGTTCTTGTTTCTTATCAATACTGTTGATTTCCATCCATCCATTTTTAACACCCTTGACGTGGGGTCGCTGGAGGTGCCGGTGCCCATCTCCAGCCAATGTTTCTGAACATTAGAGATAAGAAACAAGAACATGCAAAAAGGAATCAAATGCATAAACACATTTCCTGTGCTTTACTGATGTAAAGAAGTGCTTAAAATTCTATCTATTTTAAATATATACATTGAAAATGTTTTGGTTTAACAGGGGATTTGTTCACTCATTTGTAGGACAAATACAATCTAATTCAGCCAATGTATTTTTTTTTTCTTGCATACGACCAAAACCCAGCTCAGGCACTAGAGGGCAGCAGAACACTGAAAAAGGAGTCTTTGTTCTACCGCCTTATCTATTGAATCTGATGTGATTTGTGATTTGTAATGTCCCCGGGCTCTTATTAGACCGTCTCAGTTGTGTTTTTCTTTGCCTTCTGGTAGAAAATTAAATACTTACTTTGAGATTTATTAGTCAGCCAAAATGGAATTTAACTTGTAACACAATGGCACATAAAATCTGTTGTCCCATCCATCCAAAGGCTGATTGCGCAGAGGCCCTACCACCACAAACTCTCTAACAGTAACTTTGAGCTACAGGTGTTTTTTTTTTTTTTTTGTTCATTTGTTTATTTGTTTAGTTTTCTCATTTTGTTGATATGTCATACTGTGTCAGACAGGTTCCTGATTTGTGTAAATGCGTGCGCGTACGATAAATTTCAGCCGTACCAGAATATTGTCTCTACAGACAAGGGCGCATTTCGTGAGAAATCAGTTTCCATTTGCAATTGCTCACACATGCACCTGCTTCGAAAATAAAAGTGGTAATTACCTTATTCAGTTTTTCTATTATACTTTCATGGGCAGAAGTGAACTTTGTAGAAATATGTTTTTTTCAAAAATCATAACCAACAATCAGGTTTTCTGTGTCATTGTAAAAAGAGTGGTCTGTCCCCGGTTGTCTAGATATTGCCAATAAACAGCCTTTAAACATCTTTAAACCTCGCTTGTGATCAGGAAGCTGAGGCTTCATAGCGGCCAGGAATCTTTGGGCCTCTGACAAAAAAAAACAAAAAAACATTAAATTGGCCCCTATTGTCCCCCCGGCGCCCCTGGCTGGGAACATCCATATATGGTGCTCACATCCTGTTTTGAACGTTGTCGATAAGTTTTCAAAATTTCTCTTAATTATAAAATGCAAAAGCATTTCCGCAGTTATTGCCTCCCTATATCCTGCTGACGTTCCGACGGTTTTCTGTCGCAAAAACACAGTTTAAATGAAGAGTGGTAAAGACGCCGTGAAAAATCTCCCCATCATTTCACTACCTGTTGCAACGCAACGCCATGTCTGAAAACATCCACTCCTCCTATCCCGCGACGCGCGCGCCCGTTTCCATTTAAAGCCACGTGACCTCTCCGGGTTGGGTCACATGATCTGCTCCCAAACAACGGCTGAAACATGGCGGACTCCGAGGACCGGTGGGCGCTGCTGGGAGGCGAAAACGAAGGGCCGCTCGCCGGTCGACAGGAACCCGGCGGCCCCGAGAGAACCATGTCCGCCATCTGCGACCCGAGCCGCCTCCCGCACCGAGTGGTCGTCCTGGTCTTCATGTGCTTCCTGGGATTCGGTGAGCAGCCGGCGGCCATTGTGACGATGTTTACTGGCCTGAAAGTCTTGGAACGGGTCCCGAAGCTTGTTGGAAAAAATAAATAAAAATACGTTCACATTACGTGATACTTTTATTTTGGCGTTTATTTCAGGGAGCTACTTCTGTTATGACAACCCAGCAGCGCTTCAAACACAAGTCATACAGGTAATTCAATAGAAACTTTAGTTTCCTTTTTGTTTTTGCCCCCAGTTGAGATGTCAACTCAGTTCTGAAGGATTTACTGACGTCCCTGTTCATTTAAAATGGCTTCCTTGCTTTCTCACTGGAGAAGTTTTGCTTTTCTTTTCTGCTTCCAGGACATGAACTTGAACACTGCTCAGTTCATGCAGCTGTACGCCTGGTATTCCTGGCCAAATGTGGTCCTCTGCTTCTTGGGAGGATTTCTCATCGACCGGGTTTTTGGCATCAGGTAGGATGGAGAACCGGGTTGCAATGGTCTCCTGCTAAATCCTCACCTTGCATTCTTCCAGTGAGAGAAGTGAAACCTGCTGTTTGCTGCGCACTCTTGTCTCTCCAGGCTCGGAACCATCATCTTTTCCCTGTTTGTATGTGTTGGACAGGTTGGTTTGTGTTAAACTTCAAAATTGTCATTTGAAGTTTTTTGTTTTTCTTTCAACTATGTTTTGTTGTGAAACATCTTCACAGGTAATATTTGCGGCTGGAGCGTGGGCCAATTATTTTTGGCTAATGGAAGCTGGACGCTTTGTGTTTGGGTAAAACTATTTAGCTTTTCAGAATCTACTTTAGTTGTTTTTCCACATGAGCTCAAAATCTAACATCTTTTTTTTTTTTTTTTAGCTTTATTCAATTAATCCAAATTTACCCAATTAAACCCAAATCTCCAAAGTGGATCATAGCTTGGCAGACACACAAGTTCTTTATGCCAAAAATTGACCCGTTTTTAACTTTCATACAGACCTTGCATGGGTTTTTAAAAGCTGTTTTCTTTGATAGTATTGGCGGAGAGTCCCTAGCCGTGGCCCAAAATACGTATGCGGTGAACTGGTTCAAAGGCAAGGAGCTCAATCTGGTCTTTGGTCTTCAGCTCAGCATGGCTCGACTGGTATGGACATGTTTTTTTTTTTTATGTATTTATTTATTTTTATCTTTGCATCCATTGGGAATGATTGATTAGTTTGCAAACTTAAGTTGTCATTTTGTTGCATTAAAGCCTCGTGTGTTTCAATAGGATTTTGTATGCCAAACCTTAGCAATGTAATTCAAAATTTGGGAAACGAAAAGAAAATGATTGTTTTACAGAATATTTTACAAATAATTATTCGAAACATGTTTTGGTCCAATTGTACTTGGCTCCCAATAACTTTTTCACAGCTGGATTTCTTTTGGTGTATGCCTATCCCAGTTTTTCATCTCCATAGATGAACATTTTTGCACTTTTTTTTCGTAAGAACTGCGGACAGACTACTAGACGGAGAGTGTCTGTGAAACTACACCTTGACGGATCTGGCCACAAAATTTCCCAGTCGAAATAAGAGCAAAACACAAAAATCTAACACTTGAATATGGTTTGATATAAGACATTCCAGAATGTTGTATGGTTCAGTGACATTCCTGAAAATTATCCCAATGTCATCTATTGATGTTGTTCCCATATCTATTGCAATATGATACGTCATTGGAGTAGATATACGTTATTGATTTATCGCCTTGCCCTAAGACGGCCTAATATTGAGACTACATTTTGCACAAGTGAACTCCAAGTTAACTTCTCAGTGGAATTGTATGCACTACGTTTTACAAACAGGACATCAAAGTAAAGGGGGCCGAATACATGCACATGCCAAGTTTTTAAGATTTTTATTTGAAACGACGTCAAATTTTTCATCCACTTCATAAATGTGTACTAATTTGTGTTCACTTATCACATAGAAGCCAAATTAAATGCATCTAGGCTGTCATATACATAGAGGTGTGCAAATACTTTTACAAGGTGCTGGTCGGTGTAAAGAAACGCCGTCTGCTCTCCTTTCCCGTAGGGCAGCACAGTGAACATGAACATCATGGGTTGGGTGTACAGTAAAGTCGCAGGGGCTGTTGGTTCCTCTGGACACACGACGCTCGGGATATCACTCATGATAGGTAAGCAATACACAGTTGTGTGTAAAACCGCTGGCTTCGCTTGGGTAGGACAGAGTTTAACCTGAGCTTCTGGTTGCATATTGTATCGCTGTATGACTTACCGAGCCCTCCGCTCGTCTCGGGTAACGCAGCCAAGCAGGAACGGAGAGAAGTGGGAAAGGGAACTAAAAGTGCTACTCGGCACCTCGGATGAGTCATGTGGGGTGTGAAAAGCTTTTTCTCGCGCGTGTAAAAGCGCTTCTACTTTTGCTGGTCTTTGAAGTACTGTTGGTTAAACTTTAACTTGATCATCTGACCATTACTCAGTTGTCAGGAAATGTTAAAATAAATATTTCATGTTGTCTTCTTGAAGTCTTGAGACATTTTTTTTCTTCTTCTTCCTGTTAGCGGCTGGAACCTGTGTGTTTTCTCTAATCTGTGCCTTGGTGCTGGCATTTTTTGATAAGAGAGCAGAGAGGATCCTGAACAAGGAACAGGGAAAAACGGGTAATGTTAAGATGATGCCTTTGTTTTTATCTGTGTTCTTAACACTCACCTGTCAACACAAATCAATTCAGGTTACAAAAAAAATACAAGGTTGGCTTTTTCTTGTTTCTTCACTTGAACTGATAAGTCTCTTAATCTTATGTGCTGAAATTGATTTTTATTTATGCATTCCTCATGAAATCCAGATAATTCTAGGATTTTGTTCTTTTTTTTTTAAATCAAGTTTGTGTTTTCAAATAAGCTATTGAAATAAAATGAAGGGCTGAAACTGATGTACATATTTATCTTCTGTTTTAGGTGAAGTTATAAAACTCACTGATGTGAAAGATTTCTCCTTGTCCCTGTGGCTCATCTTCATCATTTGTGTGTTTTACTATGTCGCCATTTTCCCCTTTATTGGACAGGGCCAGTAAGTATTTTACCTTTTCCCCTCGCTAAGATGCACAAATCTACCGCTTTCAAGTTGGTGTAGTTTATAGTCGGGGGGAGGGGGGAAATGTCTGAATAGTGCTTCTTATCTGTCATCATCCATGCGGTATAAAATACGGAAGATATCACTCAAATGGTGTGAGCTATTTTCATTTTTTTTAAGGTTTTTTTTTTATCCATTTAATCACCACTGAAGTAATTTTCTCCTCATCACAAAACATTGCACGTTTTTATTGATGTGCCACTTTATTTTTAGGCTGAGTTCTAGTTTCACATAGGACTAACATTAAAAAACCAGTGATCAGTAACAATATGAAGTCTTCCTTCTGTAATGAAGAAGTAAATGCACACAGTGACCACTGCAGCAGAGTCACTGTGTTGTTTTCTGAAGAACTTTCCCAGTTCCTCATTGTTTAAACCCATAAAGCACAGTTATTTTAAAGCCATGGGACAGTATCACATTTATATGGTAAACCATGTCTGTACCGTAGAAACTGTACCCAAAATTAATTTACTTAATATTTTTTTTATTTTTGGTAAATGCCATACAAAAAATGTTGGCATAGCAATCCCCTCCTCCCCCTCTGCTGCCATCCTTTTCTTCTTCCCCTTTATACTGACTGTCACTTTTCTATACAATTGCATTTGCCCCAGGAATCAAATTCTGCCACAGCAGGTGCTTCATTGCCAGGATGCCTGAATGCAGCGTGTGCCTCTCAAAGATGCTCGTAGTTTTGACAAAACAGCTCTTTTTTTCTTTTTGTTCTTTTTTTTGGGGGGTGAATGAAAAACAAGTTGAATCACACCACAAGGAAAGGCAATGGGGCCTAAAAATGGTAATAGGTTTGACGGATGACTTTGTAGTGGAGGGAAGACGTGTTTGTTTGCCCTCAATGAAAAACACAAAGATGAGCTGACAACTGCCATGTTTTTTTCCGCTGAGGTTCTGTGCTTATGAAACACAGGTGGAGGGAGAATATTTAACATTTTGCAGGTTTTACTGTCATGAGAATTAAATCACTTTCATCTCCCCTTGTGTTCATATAAGCATAAGAACTTGCATGTATGTTTGTACTGTGTCTTATCGCCTTACCCTTTGCCTTTCAGGGTATTCTTTATTGAAAAATTCGACTTCTCCCCAGCACAGGCTAGAGCTGTCAACAGGTAATTAACTTTTTTTTTTCCTTTATAGAGAAATGTGTATTTTTATATATATATATATTGTATTTTAGTCGAGTAGGGTTTTTTTTATTATTATTGCATAGGCCTAATGTCTGAATATCTTTATTATTCATGAACACAAGCTACAGAAATTTTAACCATCTATTAAGGTAATCTTAAATGTTAATCACAATTCTTTGTTTATTTGATTTGCAATAAAAACAGTCAAATGTAGTAAATATTCAATATATGCAGTAAGAACATCACTAACACAGACACTTAAGGTCTGATGGGAATTGAGTGAAGAAACTAGCTTTATTTACAGACCAGCTTAATGGTTTTCTTTCTGAACGTTAGACTTCAATGCTGCCTGATTGAAGTGGGCACATTCACACCCCTAAAGGAGTAATGTCTGCACAAAAATATCCAACGACCATCCAATTCCATTCCTCAAAGTAACTGTCAACAAATCTTTTTTTTCTGTTTTTTATTTTTTATTTTTTCCTCCCAGCATTGTGTACATCATCTCGGCTCCCGCGTCTCCAATTCTCGGCTTTATTGTCGATAAGACTGGGAGAAATATTGGCTGGGTCTTTGCCGCTGTCGTCGCAACGCTCTGTGCTCACATGATGTTGGCCTTCACCTTCTGGAACCCGTGGATTGCTATGGTAATACACGTAGTCACTTTTAATGTTTTAAATTCAGACTAAAGTGTGTCTCTACAATACAAAAACTGCTTTGTGTTGCTGAATAAACGGCACATAAGAGAAAAATTCTCAGTCCATTTTGCATGGTATTAAATGTCCTCCCCTCACCCGTTTATTACCAATAGAAGTGAACGTTTCGATGATGTCCTGATGTATATAGATGCACCTGTGAAAGCTTTCTTTGCAGGAAGTCTCCTGCCTTACTATAGAACACTTTAACAGCTGAGTGTGCAAACAAAAACAAAGCTTTAATTAAAGCTCAAGACTCAAAACTTAATTGTTTTTCGTTTGAACGTTTAGCACGCCACAATTAAATGCCTAATGAACCCCGCTAATATGCATCATTATCCCACTGTGCTCTGAGTGATAAAATTAAGCCACTTTCCAAATCCAAACGCTTTAGCTTCTGTTGAATATTGCCAAATCCTGAGTGCAAATAACTGAGGCTGCATAGCTTCAATTTACTGTTCTTTTTTTTTTATAGATGTAATAGAAATTATTTTTTGTCTTCCAGTCCCTGCTGGGCCTCTCATACTCTCTGCTGGCCTGTGCACTGTGGCCCATGGTGGCCTTCGTTGTGCCTGAGCATCAACTGGGAACAGCCTATGGCTTGTATGTACCTTTTTTTTTTAATTGAATATTTTGGGGTTAATATGTCGATTGTCATTGCATTTTGAATGTAAGGTACTGATGTTGTGCATTCTTGGTTTGCCCACCAGCATGCAGTCCATCCAGAACTTGGGGCTTGCCGTCATTGCGATCGGAGTCGGAGTCATTGTGGATATAAGAGGATACCTGGTGTTGGAAGTGTTTTTCTGTGCCTGCATTTGCAGTCAGTTGGTTTCAGTCTGTCCTCAAGTTTTGTTTTTTTTTGTTTTTTTTTAAGCTTTAGACTGCCTCTGAGTAACATTGTTGTTTGTTCCCCGCACTGATCTTTCCCCACATTGTCTTGCAGTCGCGCTGATGGCAGTGGTGGGGTTGTACTTTGTGGATTATCTTAAAGGTAGTTGAAGCCTGGAGTTTTCTCCACTTCTGTATTTCTTTCAACTTGTTTTCTCTTGTGCATCTCCTCCTTGCATTTTCATTCTCATGACATCTCTTCACTTTCCCCCGTCATCTTTTTTTTTTCCTCGCTTTTTCAGCGAGCTCCACCGCTTATCGCTAGACTCACTATTTTTTTTCTGACATGAACTCTCTTCCTGCAGGTGAAGGTTTGAACCGGTCAGCTGCAGCCAGAGCCAAACTCCAGAAGGAGACGACTACAGATGCAGAGTGAGTATCCTTAATCCGTCATCTCTCCCATCCAAATATTCAGCCTGAACGTTTCCCTTATCTGTTCTAGTGATAAAAAAATGAAGACTGAGATTCATAAAATTTCAGCTCAACCCATAATTATGAAACGAGTAGAATATGTTGTAGCTAGAGCATTATTGTTAGTCATTGATTATCAATTATTCTCATCAGTTCAGATTTTTCATTTAGGCCCATTTATGCAATATTAGAGATACTTTGACAATTTGACCTCGAAGTAATAAAATGAACATTTATTTCCTAAAACACAAAAGAGATTTAATTTAGTGCATGATTTTATATTTACATATATATTTTTTTAATATAGAATTTGAACCAGGTGAAGCTAAAGCTTTGCCAATTGAGATGTCTTGGGGAAAACATCTACAGACAAATGTTTAGCTTTTTGTCTTAAATGTAAAAGCTATATATGCTTGTGCACTTTATGCTCAACTACTACTGAATATGTTCTTGCAGGAGTTGACCATTTACTTTAGCTGTACACTCCAGCTTACGATTAATCTATTATTGAAATAATCCTCTAATTTATTAATTGCGTCGTTGCGTTTAATAGTTTTATACATTATTGTATTTGAGCTGCAAATTCATATACAAACACCCAAATGCATGAGTCACATTTAGAGCTGCACAGACACACCAGCCTAAGGCTTAATGAGCGAACACTAATAGTTTACAAGTCTCAGTAGCACACTTCAACACCCCTTTCGAAATGTTGCATTGAACAGGTTGGCTCATTAGACTTTATTGAGCTTTTAGGTAGATTTTACAGCACACTTACTAATAGCCCTTCTGTTTATAAAGGCAAGCATGCTTATTATAAATGTAAACATTTATGGACTTGTATCTTTTTGTTTTTTCTTCCATAAAACAGACACTAACTTAACTAGCAGCCATAAGGTCGGGTAAATTTCCAAAATGAATAAATTCTGAATAATTGTCCTATTTGCTGGGTTTCATTGCCCTCCTGCAGTCATTTGCTTAAGGTTCAGGATGTGAGAAATCAAATGTTGGCAGTCTCTGCACACCCTGTGCTTTTTTTTTTTTAAGTTTGAGGCTCATATTATTTTAACCTTACTGATGTGTTTGGAGACCCTAACTGCTAAAACACTTAATTTCTAAACGTTCTTTATCGGGAGTTAACGACCTAATGGAAAAGATGTCCAACTTAAGCGACGTGTTAAAACGTGCTGTATTAAAAATAGACATGCGACGCTGGGCGTATCCTGAGCAGGAGTTTTTGTCCCTACATCAATCGTTAGCATGTAAAGCAGTATTTATTGACTCAAAAGGCTGTTTTTAGTCCCAGTCCAACGCTCCATCTGATGAATCTTTAAAAGCACTGAAATTTATGTGCTTAAATATTCTGTAGTTTTAAAGTGTTGTACAATAATGCATTTATATAGTATTTAATTTTTAGTAATACTCTGGTTATGTGCAACTTGTATCACCTGCCACTTTGTTTTTTTTTTCTTTTGATGGAATATTTTGAATTTTGCAGGAATGGACTTTGACAATTATTAGCTTCAGCGTTTAAATGAATTCACATATAACTCTTACTTACAATTTATTAAGAGAAGTGAGTTAAAGTGCTATGCTAACGTTAGCATGTTTCTATGTGAGGGCGTCCTCATTTCATGTAAAATATTTAAAATAATTTTTCCAGGTAAATAAAACTTAAGGAAACAGTTGTCTTGCATGTGCTGTCCGTTGACCATGACTTGTGACACAGCTTTTTGTTTTGAATCTTCTCTTTGATGATTCAACGTTTGAGGCGACCCGATACAGTAGCTCTGTCATCAAGTTAGTGTTGAAGCAACATTTTAAGGTTGTCAAACAGAAGACTAAAGTGTCCAGAGAGTCCTGGTCGGCTGAGATGTCCTAGATCTATTTCAAGGATGTGGCGTTTTTTTTCACTATAAGTAGAGATGCACAAATGTGAGGATTTGTGCCGATTATCGATACCCAATTTTAATATTGCTATTATGGGATATAACTATCATTTAACAGAACTTTGTTTTTCTGTACTGTTTCAACACCATTAGAAAAATAAAACGCCAATAAGATAATGTCAGCTGTTCATATTGGCTCTGTTTTATCTGTTGGACTGATATCATATGTTAAAAGATTTTTAACAATCACCAATACAGATGTTAGTGCTGATATATTGTGCATCAGTAACTATAAAGCTAGTGAGTTTCAAATCTGTAAATTGATAAATTTATTGAATTAAGACAGTTTTGTTTTTTTTGTTTTTTTGTTAAGATTAGGCGTTGTCCAGTGAAGAGCTCCAAAGATTAATTGAATCAACCCGTCATAACGATACAGTTTTGTACGCTGTGCACATTTAGTTTTTTTTTTTTTTTTTTTTTTTTTTCCCTGATTGACTGAAAGCTGTCTGGCTCACTGTCGTTGTAGCTGATCAACAACCAGACTGTACATCAACAGGTTTTTGAAGTTATTTACTTTGGGGCCCATGTGCCAATCAAAAATGCATCAGCTGTAACACGGATCCAAAAGTTAGGATTAGATTGGAAAAAACCCATGTACTTTTATTTTTAATCATTCTGTTTCTCTTCTGGCAAACCTGCTAGCTTCGAGGTTCACACTATTTTGCATGCCACTTCTACACTTCCCATTCATTGCATGAAATATTTCACAATTGCCAACAGGTTATATCCATGTCTCTAAAGATCTAATATGTCTAAGCTGAATTGTTTTGCATGTTGGACATGACACTCTCTCTGGCTGACTAATGTGATCTGATTCATGTTGTGTGGCTGATATTTTCCAGATGATGCTGAGCGAACACACATGGTCCTGGGCTTCAGAACCAGCAGGTTGCACTGTCCACCCCAGAGCTTTCAGTCTGCGGCCAATTGGACGGGACTGCGGTTCTGGCTCCGCCCAGTGACGTCATCTGTGGCTCTTCGCACCTGAACTGACTGGCTGTTGCTTAACCCCATGTTGATATAAGGACTCTGATGAATGACAAATCTCAGTTTGGACATAACTACAACTTCTTCTCACCTGACTGCAGTTCCACCTGCTCTTCATAACAACTAACGTGTGTATGTGTGTGGGGCGTGTGTGTGCGTGTGCACGCGTGTGTGTGTGCAGCATGAAGTTTCTTAACGGCTAGAAACTTAAAGTTTTTAAAAAACTGTCAAGGGGAATGGTGCTTTTATATCTTTTTTTAAAAAAAACCTTGATTTATTATTATTTTTTGGTTTTAAATCAGAAAGTAAGGATCCTATTTCAGTTCATGCAAACTTTTGGGTATTATGTTTCCAGAAGAACTTGTTTAGCTTATCGCATGTCAGCGTTATCACTGCCAAACCAAACTCTCATAATGCAGTCGGCGCTCTTTTATTTTTTTCTCGCTGTAAGCTTTAGTCAGATGCATCATTGACCTTTTACTGTTTAAGCTTTATTGCTCGGTTATTTTATTCCCTGAACGGTTTAACCGCTTTTCAATGAGCTATGAAGTTCATAAGAGTTAATTTTCTGTCGCATTATCATCTATTAATGTGCAGATATAAAAAAAAAAAAAAAGCCCCGCTTTCAAATGCATTTAACTGTGCAATGATGCTCAGCTTCAGCGTCTGTAGACGCATTTTTTAAAGTGACCTTTTTTAATAATCTTTTTTTTTATCTTAAAGATTAAAATTTTTCATAGATATTTGTCGTTTAAACTCAGGTGATTAAGTTGAGGTTCGGAGCGCTTTCCGAAATTCCTGCTTGCTTCAGACTGTTTGTGCTCTTGGCTTTAACAAAATGCGTTATGGCCACGTAGCTGGAGATTATAGTCTCCGTTTGCTTATCGCAGTTGCAGACACGGCCCAGTTGGTGATTCTCACCCTAATGGCGCATTTTAACGTTAAAACAAAAATATCTGCCTTGGCCAAATTGAAAGTGGAGAAAAAATCTATTTTGTACACATTGATTGTGGTCAATGAATATTTTATCTAAATACATTTTTAAAAAGTGTAACAAAACACTTTGCTAGCTGGAGGAAAAAGACACTGGAAGTGATCAAATTAAGACAAAAAAAAATGAAAACAATGTATTAAAAAAAAAAATGTAAAAAACACATGAAGGTCAAAGCATTTCTGACAGAAATGGATATAATGAAAAATTATTTAAATAGTGAGAATAATGGAACAAATGACTAAGTTTTACTTTTAAAACTTGAAAACCAAAACCACTTGGGCACTTTTGCTATCATCTCAAAATCAAAAAAACTACTCATCAGTCTGCTGTCAATCAAATGTTACTGTAGTTCATACAATCAAGGTTTTACAAAAGTTAAACAGATACTAGTAGTAGGTCAGCTGGAATATTGAGACTCAAATCAGAAGCCAGGAAGTGCCACAGACAGATATAATTTGAGAACATTACAATTTTGGTTAAAATTAAGTTTTAACCATTTAGAAAAAAACTTGTTTTCACAAAAAATGTCTGCCAGTATAAATAAGTGACGAGAACACAAAGATCAGATTTCACGAGAGAAATGACCATGAAAAGGTATCTGACTGCATCTGTTGCAAATGCGTTCCCCATTCTTCGCGATGCAAGGAGGAGACTTTTGTGTTAAATTTAGCTGCTGATTTGTGTAAATATGGGTGAGAAATGATGAATTATGCAAGATTTGTTGAAGCAAAACAACCATTAAAGTGGAATTTTCATCATGAATTAAATATTATCCAATCTAAAAACTAAGTTTGAAAACTGAACGGAGTTGGAAGACCGTAAACAAAATGAGACCAAAACACAATTAATGAAAAACTAAACTTCCACAAGTAAAAGCCAGGCTACAAAGGCAACTTTTACAAAAAAAACCCCTCAAATCTAGTGACTCTTAGAGGCTGTTTTGCTTGCTACATTTAACTGTTAATTCACTGAAATTATCTGAGAAGTACCAATTGTACAATGTTTGAAGAAGCAAACACAACCAAGTGCAATGACATTTTTAATAAACATAAATTATTTGTTAAACATTTGAATTCCTTTTTTTTTTTTTTTTTTGTAACTGCAGCGTCTCTCTCTGCTGTATTCTCCTTCTGTTACTCCTGCTTGCATTAATGCTCTTGTCAGTGCGGCTGCTGGAAGGTTTATTTTATTCCTACAGAAGTAAAAAGCAGTCCAGTACGGTGATGCAGGATGGTCGTGCTCGACTGGCGTCCATGTCTGCTTTTGGCTTGCGTAACAGGTACCTTTGCAGGCTGGGAGCACAGGTATGATCACGTTTAGTCACACAGAAAAATAGTTTTTTGAATTGGCAGTACAATTTCTTGTGGCCTGCGTCTTTTTAAAGAGAGGGTTTTACTAGAACACTGCGGCCGCGTGGCCTGTGGTCTGTCTTCTACTTGATTTCTTTTATCCTCTCAGCTCCCAGATCACTGCTCTACCCATCTGTCATCGCTTGCCCACAGGAGCGTTCTGAAATGACGCCCGCCATTCATCTGTCTGTCTGCAGCGCGACAAGCCAAGTCTGTGGCTCGAGACGAGTTTGCACTGAAATAGGACGATGGCTTAAAAGCGTCACGTTTTGTACAGAATTGTTTTTGCACTTTTCCCATTGATGTTTGCTGTAACCTGACTTGACATTTGCAGGTGAATTTTTTTTTTTGCCTTTTTGATGACATGCATCCATGTATACTGTAATGTTGAACACTTGAGGTGCCCTTTAACAAAGTCAAACCAAAGATGTTTTTCTTCCAAGTATTAATCTCAGGGGGATTTTTTGTTTTTACCTTTCCTAGGTGTATATCCTTTACAAACAGCAGAGGGCGTCATTTCAGTCTGTTTACAACCGACCATGGAATTGCTTTGCTTTCGTAGAGCAATCAATATTGACCTTGATTCTCTTCGTTTTCTAAGCTTCTGCATGTCACTGGGATAAGGGAGACTAAGAATTGGTTAAGCATTGTGATTTTTTTTTTTTTTTGATATGTTGATTTTTTTTTTTTTTAAATATTTGAAATAAATATATTCCTAAAATCAATTGATGTTTAGTGGATTGTTTTCTTCTACAATTTAATTTAGCCTAAAAATTTACAATTAAGTTTGTTTTTTTTTCCTTTGTTTTTTTTTCTTGATTTGGCAAAAGGAACATTTGAAAAGAAAAGAAAAAAGTCAGCTGTTTTGTCAAATATTACACGTGCACTAAACTGTTTTATATTTACTTTTAAAGTTTCTGACACATTGGCCATTTAATGGACTTGTTCTTGGATGGCTCATTTTGCCTGTCATCTCTAAAGAGTGCATTCCCTCTAGAGATTTTTACATTTGCTCTCCTTTTATGACATAAACCAGTGCACCAACAAAAGGAAAATTTAACATAGTTTTCAATTTTTTCAAATATATATTTTTTAAGCATATCATTCACTCATACAGACTCACGACTGACATACTCTGTTTCTTATAGAAACTGGTGCAACCAACTGTGCTCAGAAGTTGTCTTAACAGTTGCTGTCAGATGCTCCACATCTAATCTGAGCTGGAGCTTTTCTCCGCCTATGCTGTGCTTGATGAATTTCTATTTGTAAAAACTATGTGGCAAAGCATGCATCGTTTTACCCATGTCAAGATACCAATTATTAAATGTGCTAAAATATATACATGCGAGTTTATGTATATTATGAATGAGATAATGTCCACAGTATAATCTTTTTACCACAGTGTTTTATGTTAATGTACAGTATTATATTAAAATGTGGGGGGAAAAAAGTTATTTTCAATCAACTTAGGAATTATTCACTTTAATTTGTTTTCGGATATAAATTCAAATTGATTAAACGCATTGAAGTTTGCTGTAACCTGACAAAATGTGGAAAGTTTCATATGAATACTTTTTACAAGTCACAATTCTGTTTAAACCTTTGTGTAATTAATGTCTTAGTGTGTGAGAGAGAGACAGAGAGAGGTTTAATAACAGGTGTATCGTAATGTGCAACGTAAATAACGCCGTTTACGTGCAAAAAAACAACTTGCGTTTAAAGTAGCTACTTTTCTTAAAAATAGTCTTAGATTAGAATATAACAAAGTGGCCATTTATTTTCCCCAAGAGAGAACATGCAAGAATAACTTAGGCTGCGTTGAAATAAATAAATAAATAAATAAATAAATAAATAAATAAATAGCAAAGTTAAGAGATGTCGTCAACACACGCGCTGGCAGCCCTGCGCACGCGCTCAGCATCCGATTGGCTGCGAGAATCTTCCAAGTCTGGTCTCTCACCGGCTGCTCCCGACCCAAAGTGCTCACTCCGTCTCTGTCGAACTGCGAGGAAACAGGTCGTCATGCTGAGGAGCGGCGCGAACAGGTCGGTGTCACGTCCGGCGTCTCCTCTGTAATCACACATCTGCTTTCAGGGCGACTGTCCCCCCGCTTCCCATGTATATGACGAGCTCCACGCGCGGGCTGCTTCGGTATGCGCCGCCGGCCGGAGAGGGAAGAGCCCCGCGTAACGTCGGGTCCAGCTGGACTACGGAGCACGCGCCTCTCGTGCACAGAGACGCGTTGATTGGAGAGTTTTAGTCTTTTAACTCGACTGGTGTCCTTCCAGAAACATGCATCAGGGGGAGGAGGTGAGGCTGCGCAGCGGGAGTCTGGCTCGCGAGAGGAAGCACCTTGCCTTGTGCATCAATAACAAGGTAAAGAGGGTCAATGGCTGTGATTGTTGGTGCCGGATGGTTTGTTTTCCTTTACTTTTGGGTGAGTGTTCCAAGTGGATGATTGGCCAAATGATTTGTTTCCCTTTTTTTGGTGGGAGAACATTGCAGGGATGATGTAATTTACTCAGGAAGTTCATTCTAGCACTGATCAGCAGCAGAAGGTAAGGCAGAGTTGTAATGAATAACACATGAAGGTTTCATACATTTAATCTGTTGGAAAACATAGATATGTTAAAAAACACACACACACACACACATATATATATATATATATATATATATATATATATATATATATATATATATATATATATATATATATATATATATATTTTTTCTTTTATTAATATTTTTTTTTTTTCTTGTCAAATTTCATTTCAGTCCCCTTTTTTATTCCAGGAATGCGCCGTGTTTAGTTGTAACTATCTTCTTATCAACTCTTGCCAATTTCTCTCCCAGCCCCTTATTAAAGAAAAGGATCACCACGGCTTGACACTAACACTGCTGGGTTTCGTTTAAATTAACGTGCAACTCATCAGAGAAAACCTTTTGCCATTTCGAAAACTGATCTAGACTACATGGTCTAGTTCAATAACTTGGATCAAATCATAAATTGATCTTGACTCTGTCTGTGGGATCAAATTGAGCTGACAGCAATTTTTGTATACAATTTTTTATTTTTTTGTAAAATACCTTGTGACGCCAGTTGTTGTAATTTGGAGGTTTACAACTAAACTGAATGAAATTGAACTGAATTGACTTCTTTATGCTTTCATTGATTTTTAGTGTCAACTTTTTTATTTTGATAGTTAGCAGTTTGTTTGGAGCAACCACATTCCTCTCATGTATGCTGTGTTCAGAAGAGCATTTCCACCGCCAGCTGGACTCTCTTTGGACTTTAAAGTTAAAGTCCAATGTGGCGTCCATCCCAGTATGTCTCATTCTTGTCGCAACTATTGACATTTTTCTGCCTCCCAAATCATGTGACCCCCCCCATGAATCTCTTTCCTAAGCATAATATACCATTGTCATATTGACCTACAACTGAATGGGGGGGAGGAATGGGCTGCTTTCACGACAAAACCGGATAAAAATAGTCTACAGAACCACACCGACCCATGTCGTACAATGGAAAATGAGGTACAGAACACTGGTCTCCTAGCTTCTTCAGTAAAGCGTGATCTTTTTGTAAAACCAATTCCCATTTTGAGTAGGAAGGAGTGTTTCTGCCTCTTTATGACTTTCAAGTTTGGAACAGGATAAACAGTATTCCCTTTCATAAATGTACTATATAACAGTAGGCTACTGTGCTTCAGAATTAATCTGTTTGAGTTGGGATACATATAATTTTATTTTAGCTCAAGTTCACTTAAGGGTATCTATCATGAGAATAGCCAAAAAAGTTCTCATTTCCTAACTTATACCATACTTTGTGCCCTCGTCTTCAGCAGAAACAGCTGAGCTGCTCAGCAGGAATGAGTGCTCCCCGTCTCATTGACCTCAAAGAGTTCAGAAACTCAGACAGCTGTTAGTTAAAGAGAGAACTCGCATGAATCATCTTCAGCAGACGTATCTGATACTTATTTTTTTGTCTCTCTTCAGTAAGTGTAGGTGTGGGACTTCACCTGGCTTGTATTGAGCTTCTGAATATTTAATGCCAGTGATGTAGCGCTGCGCATTATCGGCAGCCATGGATATCGAGCCTGTGAGGTCTGAAAGCTCTGCTCCATCAAAGCTTCCGACTTACTCTGCAATATGTTGCAACGGCGGATCACTCCGTTGCACACGCACAACACAAAAGGCTCTCATTTTGTTCCACTGCTCCTCTAAACTTTAGAATATTTAAAACCAGATCTGATTAGATCCGTTCCAGTTATGGCAACCGATGTAGCCTCATCAAATCCACGTCAACCAGCAAAGAGAGAGAAAGCGAGCGAGCAAGCAGGGTCTCGCTGAAACGCTAATCAGTAATCGGCAGGAGGAAATATGAATAAGAATACAAATGTGGCTTGTTGGTTAGGGAGGCAGCTCTGCTGACTGTGTTTGCATGAGTGATTCAGATTCACTGGCGAGGCGGGAACCCCCCTGAGAAACACATTAATCTATCCAGCTATTACCCCGTAATCAATGGGACAGCTGAATTTTACAGCCGTGCCGTGTTGTTAACCATTTTACAGAGAGCTTATTTAAACAGCTTGCCAAATCGGTCACATTTAATGGAGTTCCGCGTGAAATGTATACTTTAGCGTGCCCGGTTCTTGTTTTAGAATAATTTAGGAACACAATTCTAATTTTCTGCAGAAGCCGTTTCTTTTTAAATAACCTGCATCTGCCAACACAGGAGCAGGGATCCGGCGTCAATGGGTGTCACTCAGGCGCAGTGTAGTGTATCATATGGGGGGGTTGTACATAGTGAGCGTGTGGTGCCAGGGATGGGTGTCATATTTCAGAAGTGCATCATTGTATCTCCCCCAGCGGGACGCTGCAGTGCTGAGTGCTGTTTGCGCCAGCTCACTCAAATGCTGTGCGATTGAGTTGTAATAACCTGTGCAGGAACACGATGAACCTGCACTGTGATGGATACATGTCATTTTGGTACAGCGTGAGCTTCAGATGGAGACTTACAGATATTGTGTGTGTGTGTGCGTGTGCAGATTTTTTCTGTGGTTCAATGCCATAAAAAAGTGTCATTAAATTGCTCTATAAATCCACCAACTCATATGCAAAAACACAAGTTCGAATGCTCGCATCTACATTCACCAGGTCTATAGTGATTTCCATCTGCTCTATTTACGACTAGAGCTGGAATGGTTTCAGTGTGTAAGCTCAGCCTTTGATCAGCTAAAGAAGATCTCTCACAATAATGGATGTTACACACCTTTCTCTCAATATGTTAAAGAAATAGCTTTGATACTTTTTTTAAAGTGAGGTCCTTTGAAGTAGCTCTCAGTTATAGTTTCCTATGGAGAAAAATATATGAAACTGTATGAAACATGATTTCTATGTTTTCTAGCTCTGTAAAAAAGAAGAAATGCTTTTACTCCTCTGGAAACATGTTTCCAGACTTTATTCACTGTTTATTAGGTAAAATGTTACGTCCTTTTGCCTTTGTTTCTTTTTTCTTGTGCTGTCCCTTTTCTGTTTAACCTCTTGCCTTCTGCTCATCCTTCCTCCTTCCTTCACTTTTTTCCTTCTTTGTTCAGTTATTCTTTCATTGTGTCCTTCTTGTCTTCCTCTACTTTCTTCCAGCTTCTATATTTTCTTCCTTCCTCGGTCTTTAGTCCCCTGCCTGTTATCCTCTATATTCTTTCTATATCCTTCCTTTCTACTTTCTGACTCCTTTTGTCCTTTCATCTCTCCTTCTTTCCATGTCTGTTTTCCCATTCTTGCTCTTGTTCATCTTTCTTTTCCCTTCTTATGGCCTTCTTCTTGTGTGTCCATTTCCATCTCAAAAATCTCTTTTTTGTTGTCTTTGTGCATGTAACATTCAAATCACTGAAATAACTTTAGTTGATTAGACTGTTTCCCTCTAAAAGAAAAAATTTTTTTTCACATATATGTGCAGATACTTTAATACAAAAGACAGAATTACCTCTGCATACATTTAGATGAAAAATCCAAAAGTTCAAAGAATCAGATTCAACATGACATCCTCTATAAGGAATGAGAAACACAGGAATAATGTTGCAGTAGTCTTTGTTGTCTTTTGTGTGTGTGTGTCTTGGATCAATCTTTCACCCTCTGCCTTTTCAGCTTGTCAAAAATCCACACACCTTCACATCTACCCACAAATGTTCTCCTCCTAATCTTTTCCACGACGCCTTTTCCTTAATGATATTCTCTCCCACCCCTCTCAGAATAGCTTAGATTCTGTTTGTGTTAAGCCTGAGGAAATTCATCCCTTCTTTTTTCAAGCCATTAGCTAAACACAAAATTAATTGGCAAAAAAATTGAGGCTTGATAATAGATCAAGCCTCATGCTCATTATCAGGAGGAATTATAAATCATTAGTGGTTCTCTGCTTATTAAATGTGGAGATTAGTGAAGTGAAATCAGGAGGAGAATTTTAAAAATATGTCTTTAACCTGTGCTGCTTAAGAATCTGTGATTCTTAAGGATACAGTACCTTGTGTTGCTATGTGCACCGCTTGGACATTTTTTTTTACATTAGAAGTACAAACTTAAATATATTTTTTTCAGAATTTTAATGTGACTGCACAAAATGATAGTTTTCAAAAATTTAACAAATAACATTTTGAAAAGTCCAACTTGCATTCAACCTCCTTTATTTGCTATATCCCCAAGTAAAATTCATTGCAACCAATTGCTTTGAGATTGAAAAGCATGTATCTCTTTCCTTCCACTTCACAATTATCCACATTAACACATATACTTCACATTTGTCACAAAATCTGACAAACCAAAAGGGTAGGATTGTTTTTGACACACAAAATTAATTTTTTTAAATGTATTTGTACAAATGTCCTATTTTTCTTTCACCTATTTGTTGCTCTGTTGTGCCTAAATTTAAACCCATTCGCAAGTGCAGCAACATGAGTTTTATGTTAAAGTATAGCATTAATTTTGTCATCTATCAATAACAAATCTATCATTGATGCACTCTGTAGGTTTGTGCCACTGAACCTTCTTTTCCTCTGTCCAAAGGTATATTAAAAACGAAATGCGTGAACATATTAGTGTTTACTATATTGCCCTATAGCTATACACAGCAAGAGAAAATGGCACTTTTGTAGTCACATGAATGCATCAGTGAGACCTGCGTCCCTCAGCGAGTCCTTTTTGAGCTCAGGGACTTGAGGCAAAAGAGTAAATGTTGTCTCCATATTACTCCTTGCACACGATCCGCATGTAAATTGATTTCCAATGCGGTGAATAATGAGCATCTTCGCCACAAGAGCCTTTCTGATTGGGTATTTCCTCAGGCTGATGGGCAAGTCAAGTTACAGCCAGTTGTTCGTTGCATGCTGCACTCAGATCCACTGAGGTCACTCGGAGACGTGTGTGTGCTCACATATTGATGTGTGACTTTACTCTTTTTTTTCTCTGCACTAACATCTGCACATCTTTTTGTATGAGTGATTCAGATGTATGTGTAAGTTGACTTTACCACAGGCGGAGGATGAAATGGATCTCTAAGAGAGTCAGAGGAATGTGTGTGTGTGGGTGTCTGTTCAGCTAAGTTTGTCATCGATTTCTGCGAGACATCTAGGACTGAGAAATTATTATTTTAATAACTCATCAATTAAACGGAAGCAAGCTTTCTTCTGCCTGTTTGCAGTTTTCCTTCCCTTCCTTCCTCTTTTCCGTCTATCGTTCATTTTTCAGCAGCTTAATGCTAATTAATGTCTCCCTTCACCTCATCTTGCTGTGCCATCTCCTGACTGCCCTTATTATGGTTCCAAGCCCACGGAAGCGAGCGAACGGGCCATGCAAAGCATGGCCATTTGTCTGCTCCCAGTGGAGAAAGGAATCCTATTGTAATTGTACAGATTTTTCACAATTTGTTGTTACTCTTCTTCTCTGCTAAAATGCATCAGGTGGAGGAACTATGAAATTCTGGAACAAATCTCAAGAGGCAGACTAGTAGAGACTAGCTTCATTCATATCAATTCTCTGGAATTTACTTTATAACCTTGGTAGATCAATTTCATCTTCTACTTCCACTTACCTTAGTTTGAGATCTGATGGTATTAGATCCAGGAAGAAGTTAAATGCCTTGTATCCTTGTGGGTCTGCTCTCAATGGAATGTGCCCAGCAAACTCTCCAAAGAGAGTTGCCGAATAGACCTCATGATTGCATGACTCAGCCAACCCCTTCTGATGCAGAGGAGCAGATGCTGAACTCAGAACTGCCTCTGCGTGATGGATCTACTCATCTTATTTCCCAATCCTCCCACGGAGGTAACTCACCTGTGCTGCTTGTTCCTGGAATTGCATTTCTTTATTCATGATTATCTCATGGCAATACATGAGAGTTGGAACATAGAATGGTAAATCAAGAGCTTTGCTGTTTGGGTGAAATCTTTCCTTGCCATGTCGGAGCCGACCCATTTTCCTTTAGAGGAGTAAATATGAAGAACCGGCAGAGAGAATTCGAAAATATAAAGCTTAATTGAGAATGTACCTTATTCAAACTTTTTCCAGCTGAGAACTACAGCATCAGACAGGGGGAAGCTGAGTCTTCACTCACTTAACTTCTCAAGAACAAGCCAAAGGTGTTGGCTTGACCCCGACAGATGCACATCACCAGCAATAAACAAAAATGAGACCCTGAGGTTCCCAAACCAGACACCCTTGTGTCGCCTGCAGCATCATGAACAAGGGGCAGACCTGGCTGACTTAAACCACACACTTGTGTGTTACTCATCCCCCTGATGAGTAACACACACTTGATTTTATGCTGAAAATTTGCATGGTGCACTTGGTTAGAGTATACAAAAATTGTATCCCTGAGGCATTCCTCATTAAATGCCTCAGGGAACATTGTTGTAGCCTTTCTCCAGATCCATAAAATACGTGTGCAGAGGACAATCAAATTCCCATGATCCCCTTGACAGGTCGCCAATGTTAAAGATGTAGTCTGATGCTCCAAAACTACGGCATGTCTATTCTAAAAATACATTAAAAGGGAGTTTCATGGAAATAAATGCACCAGATGCGTTTACGCATCACATTTGTCTGTTTTATAACAAATATATTTCCTTTCGGTTTTTGTAACTGATCCTTTTTATTACTGATCATTTGACTCATTACTCAACTTCCCACGCCATCTGGATGCAGCCTTCAGTCGATGCATCGCTACAATAGTTGATTCATCTAAACTCTTGAAAGAAACCTTTATTGGCTTTCTGCCCATTTATATCAATAAGGAACCTCTACTTGCTTTAGTGAGTGGAAAAGCAACGGAACAGAAAAACGAATATGTTAGAGGCTTGGTGTTTGGACAGAATGCATCACTACACAAAGGATGGGGGGAGAGTTTGAATGTATTTCGCCCCACTGTTATGTACCAATGTTAAGTACCTAAAAAGCATATTTTGGTAAAACTCCAGTCTGCGTTTTACCAAGGCAAATGGTCAATTAGGGCCATGAAACACTGATAAGACCGTAAAAGTATATTTGTACTTCCCGTAGAAACTTGTTTGTAATCTTATGTGATAATGTCTCCACCTGGGTCTGTCACATGATTACATTCTTGGATTTTAAGCATATTTAATCGAGGTATTCTAATGCATATGTTGTGAATATGTCATTATGGGCTTGATGGATAATTATCTTTACATATGTTCTTACTCTACTATTCCCTGCTGCAGCTCATAGACCTGTAGTTGTTTGTGTAGACATATAGCAGTACAGAGGATCATTTGCATTCAAGTAGTTTTCCTTTTTTATACACCTGATAATAGCAAATATGCTCATTCACTTTTAGCAGTATATCTGTTACCACCAATTCCTGCAGCTTATTAGCACCAAACTGCTGCTAGATATTCCTCAATGGTCTGTAACGTCATGTTTTTGTGACTCTTAATGCAAGGATAATAAGTAAAACAGTTCACTGCACAGTGAGCTCATCTTTGGAAATAGCAGCTTACTGCTGCAGTAAGTGGGACTTATTCTGCTTTACCAAAGATCCGTGGCTTGAATAGCAGTTTGCGTTCCGTGACAACAGCTGGTTTTTCATGCAGTTTTAAAGTAACTTGAACATTTTATCAAGGGAAATTGTGAACTATATATATATTCTCCTAACCTTCATGTGCATGGTCTTGGAAAAATGTTAGCACCCCTTAAACTTTTTACACATGTAATCGCGCTAAAATGACAAACTTTAAATCATCAAACTCTGTCAAAAAGAGTCCAAAGAAGGAATAGCCTACATAGTTGAAGAACACAAGTGTTTCTATTCTTTTCCGTTTAAAACTTAAAGAAATTGCCATTTATAACAGTTCAGGTAAAGCTATCCGACGCAGGAACAGGTAAAGTGAGCAACTTCGCATTCATGATGACTTCATGTCAAATTACATGTCTATTCTTTGCTGCATCATTGGTGTGGGAATCTGAAAGCTCTGTATTTTTACTGTACAGGAAGAAGTGAAGAGCTATCATCGCTGCTGCAGCCACAGCGGAGGGCCAGCACTTCAGAAGATTGAGAGGTAAGAGATTGAAGTGCCTCAATTTTTACCTCGGTTTTATAGAAACATTTAGTTCATGGAAAGAGGATGTCGGACTGTTGATCAAGCTAAGTTTTTTACCAAACATCGCTTATATTTTAGCTCAACAGAATCATTTTTCACACTAAGGGGCAACGAAACCTCCACCAACTGAAGAAATATTTTTAAAAACCATGAGTTTGCCTCAAATAGATGAGTTTCAAACTGCATCTGCTGTGTTGATGGATTTGCCTTTGTGTCAATTTGAAACATGCAGAAGTGAGGAGGACAACAAAAGCTCGTCTCACCGAGAGCAGCGACAGCACTTGGAGATCAAGGCCACTATGTGAGTATGACCTGCGACCTAAAGTCAAATATTTACACTCTCATCTCACAGCCACAGTGCCTTTGGTCCCCGAAAGCACTATGTGTGGTTTTGTACCAGAGAACAATCTATGTGTGGCTTTAATGTAATTTTCGCAGTGATTAGATTTTGGATTCTGGGTCAGAGTGCAATATTGAGCGCATGAACTCTTGTAGACTCCAATCTAATGTGATTCTACCTAAACATGGGCAAACAACTTTATAAGTGCAACAGTGCACACTCCCCTCAGGCTTTCACTTCTTTGAAAGTTATGGAGTATGGAGAAAACAACCCTTTTTTTCTGTGTAGAGGTACAAGAAAAGGGTACGGAAAGGTGAATGAAACCGAGGAAGATAAGTTTGGAGAAACTCTCAGAAAAAAAAAAAGTCTGAAGAGTGGGAGAACAGAGGCAAAGAAAGGGCAAGAAGGGAGCAACAGAGTAGAAAATGGGGCTGGACGAAGACAGCTGGAGAGGTATTGGTTTTGGAGCGAAGAGTTATGGCTTTATTCAATTTGTTCTGTTCGGTTCAGCTGTTTCTCTGCTCCACTGGAGGTGAAGGTGTTTCTCCATGAGGTAATTGATCCTGCACTCCATCATGAACCTCAGAGTTGGGATGTGGGGGGGTTTGCATGGATGAAAGAGACTCGAAAGTGATAGATGGAGCAACAACTGTTTGTAAAGGTTGCAAACCGAGGCGTGACAGAAGTCAAGGAGAGAGGTCAAGGAAGTGTGTGAACCAGTGTCAACAAAACATGAAATTGCAAAAATATAAAGAGAGAAAATAAAAACTGATGGGATGAGCTGGAAGGAAGATATACATCAGTCATTTTCCATTTGAGAATGAATTAAAAATATTATCATTTACATCAACATATGTCTAGTCATGTTGTGTTTAATAATTATCTCAAATCAAATCAAATTTTATTAGTATAGCACATTTCAGCACCAAGGCATTTCAAAGTGCTTTATATCATAAACACAAAGTCATGCATCATAGAATAAACAATACATTGTTACATATTACATTTCAAATACAATTCTAAACAGGTGGGTTTTTAGTTGAGATTTAAAGGAAGTCAGGGTTTCCGCTGTTTTACAGTTTTCTGGAAGTTTGTTCCAAATTTTTGGTGAATAGATGCTGAAAGCTGCTTCTCCTCTCTTGGTTCTGATTCTGGGGATGCAGAGCAGACCAGAACCAGAAGACCTGAGAGGTCTGGAAGGTTGATACAGCAACAACAGCAGATCTTTGATGTATTGTGGTGCTAAACCGTTCAGTGATTTATAAACTAACAACAGTATTTTAAAGTCTATTCTTTGAGCTACAGGGAGCCAGTGGAGGGACTTTAAAACTGGTGTTATGTGCTCTATCTTCCTGGTTCTAGTGAGAACGCGAGCAGCAGCATTCTGGATCAGTTGCAGCTGTTTGATTGATTTGTTGGACAGACTTGTGAAGACACTGTTGCAATAATCAATGCGACTAAAGATAAACGCATGGATGAGTTTCTCTAGATCTGGCTGAGACATTAGTCCTCTAATCCTGGAGATGTTCTTCAGGTGATAGAAGGCTGACTTTGTAATTGCCTTTATGTAGAGCTGAAAGTTCAGGTCAGAGTCCATCACTACTCCCAGGTTTCGGGCCTGATTGCTAGTTTTTAGTTGTAATAACTGAAGCTGTGCATTGACTCTAGATCGTTCCTCTTTAGGTCCAAAAATAATGACTTCAGTTTTATTTTTGTTCAGCTGGAGAAAGTTTTGGCACATCCACACATTTATCTGTTCTAAACATTTATTCAGTGATTGGATGGGTACAGAGTCACCTGGTGACATCGTAATGTAGAGCTGTGTGTCATCCGCATAGTTATGGTAGCTAATATTCATCACTCATCACTTTGTTCCCTGGTGTTTTTCTCCTATGTCTACTTGTAGTTTACGTGTTTTCTTTCACCCTCTTTGTTTCTCCCCACAGTTCCAGTTCATCCAGTTAATTTGACTCACCCAGTAAATGTAATCTTGCTTTCATTCACTCATTGTTCGATTGTCCTGTTGCTCCCACTCCTGATCCATTTTTAGGATGCATTTCATGTTTTTTGCTCCTTGTATTTCTAAGTTTTATATGCTGCGTTTCAATAAAATCTTTGCTCTCCTCAAGGTATCACCTGCCTCCTATCTGTGTTTGGGTCCACACGCACACACACACACACACACACACACACACACACACACACACACACACACACACACACACACGCGCACACACACACACACACACACACACACACACACACACACACGCACACACACACATGGACACATTACAGAAGTTGCTGATTTTACACAAAATTACCAAACTTAAGCCTGAAACAGTCTTGTTTGTATTAATTTTTCTTAATTTGGACAGTATATTTTTCTGACTATATCACAAGACAATTATTTATACTTTATTATATTTACAGTATGTTCTGTGAATTTATTTTTTATTTACCCTACAATCATTCTGATGTATTTGCACTTTTTAGAGCTCATTTTGTGCTAAATTGTTAATCAGTTCTCTTCTTTTTGTTTCGTGTTCTTCTACACTGTATTTATGTTAGTGCTAATTTTATGTAAAATGACATTAAGATATTTTTGAATGGCAGATTTTGTGCCAAAAACAATGTCGTCTTTGGGTTTGTAGTCATATTTCCTCCACTCAGGCCTTCTCAGACGAGCTGATTGAGTGGCTGGTCATTTACTTTGATCATTTGATTTCCCACAGGGCCATCCTAAAGTTTCACCAGTTATGCAGGTGTAGGCGGACTAACAAAGTAGAAATAAGAAAACAAAAACATGAAATAGAACAACTCCAAGAATGCAAGTGCACTAGGGAAACATAGGGAGGCAGTGTGATGGTTTTTGTTTAACTTTAAATTGTGCCAGAATCACATTTGTTTACTTATATAACAGCATACAAAAAAAGATGAAATCAATGTTTTCTCTTCCTGTCACTTCACAGTACTCCATTTATTTGCTGATCTATCATATAAAACCTGTAATAAACACTTGAATGGGAAAAAAAAATGTTTGGAAATGTAATTAAAAAGGAGAAAAGCCAATGAAGATTTATGCAAAGCGCTGTGTCCGTAGGCAGTGATATACCTAAAGAAAATAGTAAAACTGCAGTATAATTTTAGATTTCGGGTAACATTAATGATTAAGTCAAAATTAAAACGTTAATTGTGTTCTTTTAGCATCCAGCGGGCCTGGCGAGCCAGTATGTCCCGTAAGCTGGGCCCAGAGGTCCCAGACGAGAACCGGACCAGACACGGATGGGAAGAGACCAGGACCTCAGAGAAACTCCTCAACCCTGTGGTGACTTCAGATATTTTCCCGGTAAGACTGCAGAAAAGCGAATCAAACGGACCACCATATGGCACGCGATGAAAGTCAGTCGGCAGTGAGAGGCGCAGGCATCTTATCCGCTGCGCCGTTTGAATTATCAAGCTCTCATCTGTTGTTCCTGTGGAGCATGAAAAAAAAAATACAACAACAAGCGGACGAGCATATGCATGAATAAAAAGACTAATAGAGAAGAGAGAAAACAGGAGGAGTCAGGGGAGGGGTGTTTTCCTCCACTGTCATTTGGTGGGGGGCCACAGGGGTCGCACTGGCGAAGGTGGATGGGAGGCCAGCTGGCACCGTGCCCGGATCCGTAATTAGCCGTTAATTAGGTGAATTTTCTATGCTGGTTGATTGATTAATGAAGTGCCTCTGCCCTCTTTGTCCCCCGCCTCGCCCCTCCACCGGCACTTTGTAATCTTGAGGCAGTGTGTAGAATTAAAGAGTGCTCACAGGGCATGACAGCCAAACAAAAGCCAGAAAACAAAACAATGGGACAATCAGCAGATGGAGAGAGAGGTGGGAATGAGAAAATAACAAAGAAAAGCTGAGCTGGAGAAGCACAGGCAGAGATAAGAGGATAGATATGGATATGTGAAAAAGATTCCTTTAGATCACCTCAAGTTCTGAGAGACCAACTCAGACACACACACGCAGACATAAACTCTGCTGTGCTGCTTTCCTAATGTCTGTTGGCTCTCACAGCGTAGTAATCACACCGACACGCACGAGCTGCCTGTGCACACCTGCCCACGCTCTTTGCAAAGACTTAGCACAGAAAAATATGATGTCATGTCTCCGTGCTCAGCAGCTGTGGCAGCTTTGTGTGGGTTAGATTTTTTTTTTTCCTTTTTTACCCACTCCTTTTTTCTGTGTTGGTGAGATGATGTCCTGATGCGACCTGGTATGAATGTTTCTATGAAAATGTTGTCCTGTCAAGCTATTGTGTATTTTTGGATGTAGTTGGGAGGGATTTTGGCTCATTATATGCTTTCTTCAACTCACATATTGAAAGAATTTTCCATTAATAACATCAGTTAACTTCGTGCTACTTTCAGGAGATGTTTTTACTCACACCAGTACGCTACTTGCTTGAAACTAAATATGAAATTTACTCCATCAGTCATTTCTGATTAAGTTAGTCAATAATTTCAAATTAAGGCAAGTTATGATTCTCTTGAAATGCAAATATAAAAGTTTTCATCTTGTAATTACCCATTTTTTACTCTTCATTGTAGTTTTATTGCAAATGGCACTGAAAAAGTTAATTGACATTCATTGAACGTTGCTAAATAAAGTGAGTGTTTTTCGAGCAGTATTCCAAATCCTGCTTTTGGAAATGCACAAAAAAATGTTGCCCCAAAATAAATCTAACCAAAAAACTGTGTCAACTAAAACATTGAGACACTTCTGATGTTTTGTAACAGTGGCTAAATAATCAGTTTTATTCAGTGTGTGCTTTGTTAAAAATATTATTTAGTTTATCATTAAACAGAGAAAAATCAAATGAAATAGTTCTTTAAGTAATTAGTTTAAACAAATCTTAAACCTTTCTGGCCTTTTTGTACCCAATTTGATTAGGCAAATGGTTTGGTCACCATGTTAGCACATTAAAAGAATTAATCACAGATTGCCTTAAAATTGTGTACTAATAGATAGTTATTTTTTTAATGACTATGAGCTTGTAAAGTAGATTATAATTTCTGTTTACAAAAATTCTGATTTATTCCTTTAAGATTTTTTTCCACAGACTTTATTACATAAAGTCAAGGAGTAAATGGTGCTTCACACAAACTGAAAAGTTAAAAGTGCAAGGGAGACACTTTAAAGCTAAGTGCTCAGGATAACATACAGAATCGGTTTTAAAAGCAAAGACCACGTAAAGCAATCAAAATGACAAAATCACAGAGTTTTCCAATTACAACCATGATATTGTTACTATGAGCAACATTTCGAAATGTTTTCAAAAAGCCAAAAGCCTAGCCGCACTAAGGCGACTCTTGCGTTCAGTCCTCCCACTTACTGTAGTTGCTTTTGTTGAATTGTGCACATTCACCCTTATGAGTCAAAATTCATTTTATTTAGCAGCTTTTTATCAGCAATCACATCATTACTTGGCATCGCTGATACTGTTTTGTTGGCATCTGTAAAAGTCCACAGTGTTTGAGAGATGATGGGTTAATTCTGATTATGGACATGACACTTTGTTTTCCTCATTAGTCTTCTTGCATTTCCTCTTTTTATGTGATTACTCACAGTAATTGCAGAAAGTGCTCGAGTTGTGTATTTTTGTGTGTGTGACGTTTGACTCGATTATGATAATTACAAGTAGGGGGAAAAAATGCAAACCTACAAAAGCATGTTTACTGTAACTCTGTCTTATTCTTTGGATGCTTTTAAGTTTCAGTTGAAATCCACTGAGGTTATTTTTCATCATTCAAGCCAACTTTCGCTCAGAAAGGCGCAAATGTCCGGTCTTCCCTCCCTCACCTTTACTCTTTCTACTCCATTGCATCACTCCTTTTGCCTATATTTTCTTCTCTTCCTTCCTCTGTCTATCACACTCTCTAATCCTTCTGTCTTTCTCACTTCGTCTGTCCTCATACGCGCTGTGTCCCTCTCTGCTGTGGCAGTTTGGGCTCTGAAGGACAGACATTAATCAGTGTAAGGCCAGGGTGCCACATTATATCTTTCTGAGTGTTGGTGCTCATGTTGGCTCATGTGGGTTTGAAGGACCTTGCCGTTGCCCAGTAGGGGAGCGGGGAAGGTTCAAACATACTTTATACATATTTTATGGAACTCCAATATTGAACACACTCACACACACATGCACACGCATGCCGGCATATGCTCCGAGAAGATACCGCAGCACACATCCTTCATCTTCCATTGGAAAACATTCTTTGATTTACACTCAGGAATTCAACTGTTTGCATCAGTGTCAGGCTGGCATTGCAGCTGCATGTCTGGAAATGATGATCTGCTGTAAAACTAGACCCAAATGTAATATTTATGCACTAAGGGCCTCGACTCTTCATGTCCTACTCTGGCCATGCCTGAGTTGTTGATAGTAAATCAATGGTTTTGACTGTTGCCGCGATTCTGCTGGTTTATGTTGGCAGACCTCTGGCAGCCGCCGTATTGGCAAATTTCTTTTGTTGATGCAAAACAGTGAAAGGAGGAAATAATTTGACAATCAATTATTCTTTTAACCGGTAATATAAATTGAATAACATTCAAAAATACTTAAATATTTATATTTAACTTCTGACATGATTTAATAAAATGGCCAATCAATCTTAGATTAAAGATCAAATTTGCAGCAGATTTTAAAAACAACGATACCAATCCATGACACGGCCCATACCTTCATTAAAACCCAGGGTATTTTTCAAGGACAGGACTGCATTATGTTATGATTCATAACCTGGTGCTTTCTGAATTGTACAGGTTACTTTCTATAAGACACAGGGCAGTTTTCTGAATAACCGGCCTGTTGTATGAAATTTTCAAGTTTCTTTCTGCTTATTTGTCTGTACTGTCTTAGGTCATGCTGGTCACTTCCATTATTCATTTCAGGTCAACTTCCCTTGGATTTATTCAGTACTTGCCACTTTCCCAGAACTTATTGGTTGTTTTGTGAAAGTTTCAGTTTACTTTTCAGAAGCTCTTTCAGGGATCATCATTCACTACAGGAAGACTTTTAACCCTATGGTTTCCAAAAAATTCAGGTTACCTTCTTCAACTTTTAAGTTAAAATAAAGATATTTTAAAGTGGTTACCAAAACCATACAGACTATATTGTTAGAACTTATGAGGTACTTTCTGGGAGTTTCTTTTTTTTCAAAATTTACTATGTATTTTTTTGAAATTACAGGTTACTTTCTGGAAAATATAAGGTAGGACTACTACCTCATGTCCTTTATTATACATACATGTTGTTTTGGGGTTTTTTTCAGGATGTGGTGTGAGCCGTAGTGCAAGTAAGTCCATATGCCAGGTCAGAATACAGCCTGGTTCCTAAGGAAAACCCTGTTAGTACAGAGAAAGTCGGTGCTGAGCTTGTTTTTATCTCAAAATCTGCAATTAATTGTTCAGTAAGACACCTCACCAAGACGTCTTCATTCTAATATTGAATGCAGATGAGATCTTGAACCCTGAAAATATCTTAGCCTTGAAACAGATGATTACTTATAGAAAAGGATCTAAAAGCTGCATTATAGGCGCTTGGCGGATTTGACAGTGATTACTTTTTTATGATCATACATGTAGATTATAGTTAGACGACTCACATCTTTGTTCTGCATCTAGCTTTGAAGGTCTTCTCCTTGGTAGAGTGACCTGAATATAACATGCATTTGCATAGGAGCATCCATGTAAGTGCTGACTGGTGCTGCTGTGGATCCATGTGATTTACACAGGCGCGTGGCCTTCTGGGATGTTTTAGTTAGTTTTATTCAGAGCCACAAGCCAAGGATCAAAGCTAACGTGTTGAAATGAGAGAGCAGACGAACTGCTTCAGAGTAATTTCTCTGAGCCCGTGCTAAAGCTAAACAGCCTGATAACTAATGAATTCATTTAAGTGATGGATATTCCAGAGAAATGCAGTAAGAAAACAGAGGAGAAAAAAAACCCTGTTGCCTAAAAACTTCAAACATAGACACACATTCATGTACCCATGCTTAGCTTGCAGGACGTCTGTGTCCATCGCTGTCTGTTTGCGAAAATTGTTTGTAGACATTGATCTGCTGCTACCTCTGTGACTTGTTTGCACCCCCGCCCCTCTTTACTTTCTGAGGAGAAAGTGTTAGTGTAAGCGTTTCTGCAGGCTGCGTGGGAGATCATTCTCTCATCTCTTACCACCAATAATCTCACAAGGCAAAAAGACGGCTCCATCCCTGCTGCCACCACTACCCCAACCTTAATCCCGTTTTCTCACACTCACTTCATGTCAGTCCCTCCTTATGCCTCCCACTGCTTCTTCCATGGAGAGA